AGGTTTAACACAGTGTTCCAAGGAATTGCCACTAAACATATCCACAGAACCAGAAAATGTAAGACAAACAAAGGGGAAAAAGAATAAACCCATACATGGATTTATATACAAACAGAAATGGTCTGCAACGTCAATTTTGGGAACTGACTGCCAACACCCTACACGTATCAAAGGAGATAACAAGCAAAAGAGATGTGTGTTCGTGATTTAAGGACTTTGAGGAAAGGAAGGGCTGTAACATCCCCCAATCACCCAATCCACACAGACACAGCAGCACAAGGGACCCACAGCAGCTCTCAGGGATAGTCACAGTGACCCTGGCACCGTTTGAGACCAGATCTGCAGAAGGCACCTCCTCTGCTGGCAAGTCCTTCTGCTTGCAGAAAACAAGACTGATGCATATTGTGCTCCTACAAATAACTTACTTCCTCATAAATGGGTCAAACTAACCCAGATTTATGGAACTGGAGTTCCAGCTCCAACTCACTCAGAAGTCCAGGAACATCCATTCTTATTACAGAGCCTTAAACAACTCACCATAAATCCCTCTGTTATGATGAAGAACCCAGTATTTTAAACTAGAAGAGACCTTTGATCTATTCTATTTGAGCATTTTTGGAATTTGCTAAATGGAACCATAGAATCAATCAAAGAATGGTTTGGGTTTGATGGGACATTAGAGATCACTTCATTCCAAACCCTCTGCCCTGGGCAGGGACAATTTCCATTATCCCAGGTTTCTCCAAGCCCCATCCAACCTGGCCTTGGACACTTCCAGGGATAGGGTATCCACAGTTTCTCTGGGCAACCTGTTCCAGTGCCTCATCAACCCTTCAGTAAAGAATATCTTCCTAATATCCAATCTAAACCTACCCTCTCTCAGTTTAAAACCATTCCCTCTTGTCCTGTCACTCCATGCCCTTTAAAAAAGTCCCTCTCTAACTTTCCTGTAGGCCCCCTCTCGGTACTGGAAGGCTGAATTTGGATGATTTCCAAAGGTTTGAGAAAAAGAAACCCAGGCTTCTCAAGTCCCCAAAATAAATGTGAGTCTTCAGAGGAGCAGCAATGGTACCACTGGCTTATTATAATAAATGCATCTCTGCCTTTATCAGTACAACTTCTGACATCCTTTCCAGAGGTTTGACTGGACCTGACTGTCACAGAATCACTAAGGTTGGAACAGACCTCCAAGATCCATCCAGACCTGGTCTCAGTATCTACAATACCATACAGAGAAAGCTTGTGGCTGCTGAAGAGCCTTGTAACCACTTTAGTCTCACAGAATGGTAGAATCAGAGGATGGTTTGGGTTGGAAAGGGCCTTAGAGGTCATCCAGTTCCAACCCCCCTGCCATGGGCAGGGATGTCGTTCACTAGATCAGGTTTCTCAGGGTCCCATCCAACCTGGTCTTGGCTGGGTGTCATATCAGGAGAATTCCACTGTTAATCATTCTGCAACTATTCCATACATTCCATACAGTCCCCCATCCAGAGATCACTGATCTTGCAAAAACCTACCGAGAAGGCAAAACCGTTATTCGAAGAGTGCCAAAAATACTCTTAATGCCTGTGTGAAAGTTTTCCCTTTTTCTAGATAGCTTTCTTAAAACTCAGACAGTCTTTGTCCATAATTAGTAAAAGAAGCTATTGTCTGTTCTTCTTGACAAGACACTTATCTTCCCAAGTCTGGCAAAGTATTTCTTAAATACTGACAAAGTTCCTCACTTCGTATTAATATTTTTCTCCTTAAGCTCTACCCCAAAAATAGCAACCAATTATTTCTTCAAACACTCTTATGCCACTGGTGCGCAAAGTGCTTGTTGATCCAATAATGCCACAAGGATGTTACTAAATTCAGCCCCTGTGTTCGGAAGAGATTTCCAAATATTTTGCATCTCAAAAGTAGTTTACTTCAAAGTAAACTTCTGAGGGCTGATGGAGTGGCCCGGCTTTTGCAGGAGGATGTGACCCAGGCACCGCCCACATCTGGCAGGGGGCTGCATCCCACCAGAAGGACACCTCTGAAATTCAATATAATCACTCTTAGAAAGTCAGGTTCAGTGGGGAGGGATATTTGTGGGGTGCCCCGTGCAGTTTTAAGCTGAGTTCTTGGTGCCAAAGGAGAGCGATTGGTGTCAGTATTTAGGACTTGGACTTCAGTACCCAACCAAGTTACACCGCTGAACTGATGGAACCCAAGGCCAACAGCAAACCGAGATAAATCAGCCTTGCTGGCACCCACGTGAAAGGTTTAGGTGAGTTTGTTTCATCTCACACTGGCATCAGGTCCAGCAGTCAAACAAACAACAGCAACTTGTTAAACTAAATGCAGTTTTCCCGCCCTTCAGAACCCCCAGCACTCTCTGATCTCAGCAAAGGGCATATCTGCTCCTTTTATTCACCCATGCCTTTCTTCCAGATCACAAACCCATTTCCTCGAGGCAGAGGACCCAGTGGCAGCAGAACCCTCAACTTGTCTGTTTTTCTTTCAGATATACATGTAGTGAAGTATTAATTCTTGCTCTTTGGGCTCCGTGTCACAGCAGCAAAGTTCACCTTCACGTGTCAAATGCAGGTCCCTCTGAGGGACCTCATTAACTACAAACCCAGTGAGCACTTTTTGCCCCCCCCCAACCAAATTCCTGATTCTACCTTTAATCGCCATATTTGAAACTCAGCAGCAATAAATGAGATGCACCACGAGCAACACAAAGCTGTTTTATTCACTTTTCAAAATATGAAAGAAAATCCCATCTCTTGCTCCAATTTTACTGTAGTATTCAAGATACATTACACGTTGCACAGAGTTGCTTTCTGGTCTGATTTTTTTTTTTTTTTTTCCTAATAGTAAGGTACAAGTTGTCTTCTGAAACACTTGGCATATTCCTACTTGACAGAGGCAGGGGTTTTCCCAAGTATTTCTTAAACTAACTTGACATTTCATATAATTAAATCAGCAACTAGAGAGTAAGCATTTGAGCTATCACATTATCCGAGCTTCACGTATATGAAAATAATTGTATCTTATCTCCTATCTCCCCAATCTCCCCAGTCAGGAAAAAGACACAACCAGCCTGGTTAAACCCTAGTATTAGTGGAATAAGTGGTTATAATTTTATTAATCACCATTTTTACGGCGGTGCTGGGGATGAATTGCTCCCTGACGTTCCGCCGCGCCAAGCTCTGCACAAAAACGCGCCTGATTAAACATTTCCTCCCCAGAAGAGCTTGCACTGGATGTTTCTTTGTTCCAGCAAGTCCATGAGCCCGCCATGCGTGTAATTAAATCTGCTCTTTGGGGTGGGCCCGATCCCGCAGACATATGTCTGGTAGCGGCTCCTCCAAGAATAACGAGCTCACTCGCCCGTGAGGCAAGGCTGGAGCCCCCCAAAAACCAGCAATGATTAAAGGCAGGCACTCTATTAGAGGGTGTTTGTTCATTTGAGGCAGCCAGGCCTGTCTTTTTTCAGCCAGTGTGTGAAGTCTGTTTTCTCCAAATGGAAATTACACCACTAAGTGTCCTTGTTAGGGAGACTCATACAACCCTCTCCTGGAAACTCCAGTTCTGCAGAAATGAGTGACCATTCTCTACTTCCAGCATATTGGAAGTCCTACCAGTCCTTCTGTGCAAAGAACAAAGCCTGATCTACCTGATTTGTGCGTCTGATATACCCAAATATGTGCATTCAGCACTTAAAGGGGGGTTATAAAACAGAGAGAGAGCAACTTTTTACATGGGAAGATAGTGATAGGGCAAGGTATGATGGTTTTGAACTAAATGAGGAGACATTTTGGTTAAATATTAGGAAGGAATTCTTCCCTGTGAGGGTGGGGAGGCCCTGGCACAGGTTGCCCAGAGAAGCTGTGGCTGCCCCATCCCTGGAAGTGTCCAAGGTCATGTTGGAATGGGCTTGGAGCAACCTGGGCTAGTGGAAGGTGTCCCTGCCCATGGCAGGGTTGGTGGAACTCAATGATCCTTAAATTCCCTTCTTATCCAAACCACTCTATGATTTTACCGCTACATATTTTTCTTCACATTTCTAAGCTGTGGGCAAATTGCAACTAACGGAAAATTTTCCTCCCCCGGTGCTGAAAATAAATTAAACCCCCAAAATTTAGCTGTTCTTTTGACTTCTTGTATTTTGGTTTTTTTTAAAGACTCCAGTGATTATTGTTTAGCCAATTTTTTGGCATTGCTGAAGCACAAGGAAGAACATCGGCCAACTACAGTAAATCCTCTGGAGGCTCCAAGGGCAAGGAATTAATTTTATTGGCATAATTGAGAGCACTCACAGAGACTGTGAGGAAGCACCTGTACTGAGCTAGCATCACTTTTCTCATCTCCTCCTTTTCTTTCCTTACAAGACATGAAAAAAAATCATAGAATCATAGGGTGATTTGGGTTGGAAGGGACCTTTAAGATCATCTCCTTCCAAACCCAAACCATGGGCACCTTCCACTAGACCAGGTTGCCCAAATCCCCACCCACCAAAGAGACACGAACCCACCAGACACAGATTGAAGGCTTGCAGCCACATCAGGTCAGTGTGTCTGAGCACTCCTGGTTTTCTTCAGAGTTAACAAATGCTGCTGAGAGTATTTGTAACATATATAGTGTTTTAAAAGTAAAAAGAAAAAAAACCCCTTCCATCCCCTCTTGCTATGGAGCAGATTGCAGGCCACGGAAGGGGGAAATTCATCCCAAAGCTCCCTTTACCGCAGCTGTCCTTGAAAAGAAGGAAGACTTATTTTCAGCACATGAGTATCAGTTATACTGGGAGGAAAAAACACTCATTCCCTTCAGAGGAATTCAGCTAAAACCACTCTATGGTCCAGGAAATACCTGATGGAGCAGATCACACATACTACAGTTCCCAGGCTTTGCTTTAACAAACCTCAGAATCACAACAACACACCTTAAGCATCAGCAAGATCTTTTCTGTCCTTGTTTTTCCAAAAGGCAGCGCTGCCCATCCTGCTCTGTTTTCACTGCCTGTCCCTCTGTGGTGGGAAAACACAACTTGTAAGTCTTTGGTGAGGATATAAAACAGTGAAAAATGCACCAGAAGCTCAGCAGAAAAGGGATGATAGAGGCAGATATAATCTCTGTTTTCCAGGGGATGAATACTGATCCCCCTCCATTAGCTTTGGCCACTGGAGTTCCCATAAATATGAACAGTTTTCATTTTCTTATTTCTCACTTTGTGGTAGTTGGCCCTTGGAGGAAACTCTTTTTCCCCTTTCAAAACTACACCCAAATTTCCCAGCTACGACTGCAAAGGAAAAGCAAGAAACTTTCCAGACAGCAGATAGCTCTGGTTGGGGGTTTTATTTGGAGGATTTCTTCAGTTGTTTGTTTGCTTTAACCCTATAAAATATGGTCACACAAGGTTTCATGCCTGTGAAACTGCAATTTTGCCATTCTATTCTATTCTTGGACACCTTCAGGGATGGGGATTCCACAACCTCTCAGGGCAACCTTCTTACACCTGAATAGATCCAAGTGGACAAAGACTTTCTCAACATACATCCAACCAAACATTCAAAAAATGGTGAATTAAGAAGGAAAACTGGTAATTGCTAGAGACTGGTAGGAAGCTCAGTACACTTATGTGAATTCTCCAGCATCCACATTCAAGTTAAAAATGAGGAAAAAAACACCAATAAAATCATTTCCCATCCTGGAGATCTCCTTATAGGAAAGTGGTGGACAGTCAACCATGCCCTCCCCAAAACACTTCCTCGGTACTGTAAATTCAGCTCAGACATTAAATATCCATTAGAAATGGATAATGAAATTAAGAAGGAGACAGCTAATGGGAACCACTCCACAGAGGGAGCCCTGCTGGTGCTCAGCAGCGTGGCCAGCTGAGCACCAACAATGAACAAATTGAGTGTTGGGAGGAGGGAAATAAAGCAAGTGCCACAGCTCTGCTTGGCAGGAAAAGTGTAATAGATTCTGTCTCGGAGATGTATCAGCATCTGTGGCTTTTAAATCACAGAGGAAGGCAGAGGGGAGCAAAGCTTTTAGCACTCAAAGCAAAATCTGCAACGAGACCTTTACAATGATGAAACGCCCTCGGGAGCGAGGGAATTAACAAGAGGTAAAATGTCTGGGCTAAAATCTATATAATGTGTGTTTTAAGGCATCATCTGGCAGGAGACTGGACACCCCAGCTCTTCCCCCATCCTCTACCAGCCTTTTCATTCCTAAGAAGAAGAAGAATGTAGGGGGTTGTTTTGGTTTTTTTTGTTTTTTTTTGTTTTTTTTTTTCCTTTTTTCTAGTTGCCCAGTCTGACAGCTTGGAAACACAGAAATATTTCCCTGCAATTTTCATAATCACAGCGAGATCCTCAATATGCTTCGAAATTATAAAGGGAAGAGCAGTGTGAAACACAAATTATCAACATCATTAGGGAGAGAAGTGCTGCTTCAGATTTTTGCCCAGAAAGGGGGAAGGAATTAATGTCAGGTCTGAGAAAAGACCTTGGGATATCCAACTCTTCAGTCCTGTCCCAAACACTAAAGAAAAATCAAGTTTCTACATTCCCCACCCTCTCCTCTTCTCTCCTCATGGAGGAAAGATGGAGGCTTTCTTATGGGGACACTTCTTCCAGGCCCCAAATATTTCCAGACAAGCTGCAGACCCAAACTAAACACTTTAAAGATACCTAAAAAAGGTCTGATTAAGGAGTCACCTATTCAAAATAGCTCATCTTCAGTGATACATCACTCAAAGGGAGTTTAATCTCCACATCAGATGGCAACTTAACCATCTCAGCCTCCCCTTTGTCCACACGAACAGCAAATCAATTGGAGCAATTTTGCCCCTTTTTTTCTGCACCAGCATCTCTCTAAAGAAACAAACAAACACTTGCACATAACCAGGCTGGCTGTGTCAGAGGACAGCACCACTCAAGCCAAAAAGAGTGCATAATTATATTATCCACCTTTACAGTGGGGAAAACAACCCCTCATTTACCCTTTAAAACACCCTTGTAGCACTTGGAAAGTGGATTTTGGTCTGTGTATCTACAAATGTAGCTCTACACACACTGGCAAGGTGCAGCTGCCCCTGGCATGAAGCTGCTTAACCCCAGAGCTAAAAGCCCACGTGGAGCTTTCCATCAAAGACTGATCAGGACCCTGGGAGGGAAATAATTAATCCAGACCAAACAGCACAAATTTCTGCCTCCACAAGGCCAAGAAAGGTGAAGCAGCATCATTTTCCAGCCTCATGCAAGGCAGCTCCTGAGCAGGGAAAGGTGTTAAGAGCCCACAACATTAATTAAGTTAATAGTTTGGGATTTAGGACAGGACATCAAACATGCCTGCTGTATTACAATCTCCTTACGTGCTCCTGCTCCAAAATCCCAGAGCAAAATTATGTCACTGCAGATGCAAGGACATGGGTTATGCTTTGCAGATTTCAATCAAGCAGAATTTCCCACTCAGCTGGGTCCTTATCTGGACACAGGAACTTGACCTTGAAGAATTACTATAAAAACTTGGTCAGTGTTTGATCCTGCATAAAATGCAATCACTGGGAACGTCAGGGCATCATGTCTAAATGAGGATTCTGCTCTGTCCCACCTTGTTTCTTTCCTATTAACAAAATAAATGATTTATTCCTGCTCCAGCCTCGGGAAAGGGAAACTCACTGGGCACAAAATATTTCTCCTCTGATCTCGCAGGTGGTTGCACTAACACTGGGTAGTGTTTGAGCAGGTTGTCCAGGAAAGGTGCTTTTAACCAAGTGGGGCTGCAACTTTACCTTGGTCTGTCCCTAATTGCTGCAAAGAAATTAAAATTTGCAGACAGGGCAAACTGCTGCTCTTCACTTCTTCTGCCTTGGGGATGACAGACCCATTTCTTGACAGTTTTATCACAGAAACATAGAATGGTTTGGGCTGGAAGGGATTTTAAAGATCATTTTCACTCCAAACCCCCTGCCATGGGCAGGGACACCTTCCACTAGACCAGGTGGCTCCAAGTCCCATCCAACCTGGCCTTTGAACACTTACAGGGATGGGGCAGCCACAGCTGATTCTTTATCCTCTTCAACCTTCTTGACATTTTCCAATGGAAAATTTAGAAGACTTTTCCCCAAACAAAACTTTTCCCAAGGCAAGCACAGGTATGATAGAAAATCTGAGCCAAGGGATCAGATAGAAATTCATGTTTAAATACCTGCCTGTAGGACCCATGGGGAAGCCACAAAGTGGAGAGGTCACCTGTGTAGGAGAAGGGTTTAATCCTCTTACATTTATATATTCCTCATTACAGTTGTGTATATTCTTGGAGGCCACAGGAATGGTTTGTCCCTCTTTGTGCTCAGACAAACTTTGCCCACGGTGATGCCTTCCCACAGGGAGATTCACACACTGATGGGGACTTTGACCCTTCCGTGACCAACTTTGGACCAACCACCCAAAACCAGTCCCTAACAACCACCTAAGGTAAATCCCTAAATCATAAAAAATAATCTCTTCACGTGGTTTAATCTAATTAGAGTTTGTGACTGAAGAGCCTTGTGGGTTAATGACCCTCATATGTGCAAGTCATGAGGGAAATCTAAGTTTCTACAAACACCCTCAAACACTTGATTTGCTTCTCAAGCCTCCATGTTCCAGCTCAAACGTGTTTCTCAACCTCTGAAGCAGCAACTTTTACCAGTTATCTTTGAGCAGAGCAATCACAAGTTTGACATCAATGCAGGTATCAACAGGCATTTTACATTTTCTAATTTTTAACCTAGGACTAGAGACATCCTCTCTCACAAAAAAACCACCAAAACCAAACCAAATCAAACCAAAACAAAAACACAAAAACAAAAACAAAAACAAAGCCCACCAGAACATCCAAATGCAGAATTAGCTTCAGATTTTCTCTGCAGTCTGGAGACTGGATATCAAGTATATTTAAAAAAGGGAAGTAATGAGGTTAAAAAAAAGGAAAATAATGAGGTAAAAAAAAAAAAGGAAAATAATAAGGTAAAAAAGGTGCAAAAGAGCTCCTGCATTAGAGCACACTGACCTGAGTCTGTTTATTTTTCAAAGATTGCATCTTTAAACCTGGTGATGCTCCTCCCAGGAGGCACAGCCAATATTCTGATCTATTTTTTTTGGTCTTCTAAATCCAGGGACAGGCAGAGGAAGCCGAGCTCAAGGAGCTGAGAAAGCCCAGCATCCATCACTGCCAGAAGGAAGGTGTGGTTTTATGATACCCACGTTATTTCTTGGTGCTTGGCTCCTGCTCAGCCAAGCTCTGGGCGTGAAGTTTTGCTGCAAAGCCTTTCCCTCCCCGGGCGTGTGTTCCTGCAAAGCTGCAGAGAAAACTGATCTCGGCCACTGGGGGTCATTCAAAGGCCTAGAAGAGCCTCCTCCCAGGAATTCTGCTGCTTCTCGTGCTGGAATCTGACATCTCTGCTCCTTTAAGCGCTTAAAGGGACCTCTGTGTTATAACCCTTTAGGATCAGAGGCCACCAGGTCATCTTTGTTTTCTGACACCCCCAAAAAATCACCCCAGGCAAATGAATGACTTCAAAAAGAACAGCAGAAGAGATGGAACAGTTTACAAAGTCTCCTGACTCTCCAGGTGGTCTCCTGATCATTGGGGAAGGGAAAGCTCCCAAGGAAGTGGGGATGATGATATTCTTCTCCCTCCCTTTCTGCCAAGTCAAGGAAGCAAGACACATATGGAGATAGATTGATAAAGTCTTTGATACCATTTCCCATATCATTCTCCTGGAGAAAATGGCTGCTCCTGGCTTGGACATTAAAATAAAATAAATAAAATGAAATAAATATAAATTAAAATGAAATGAAATAAAATAAATATAAAATAAAAAAGAAATTAAATTAAATAAATTAAAATAAAAATAAACATAAAAATATAAATGAAATTAAACTAAAATTAAATTAAAATAAATGAAAATAAAAAAAATAAAATGAAATTAAAATAAAATAAAATAAAATTAAATTAAATACAAATAAAAGAAAATAAAAATATAGTTAAAAAGAATTAAAATAAAATAAATTTAAAATTAAATAAAATTAAAAAAATAAAAAAGAAATTAAAATAAAATGAAATTAAATCAAAATTAAATTAAATTAAATTAAAATAAAATAAAAAAAGAAATTAAAATAAAATTAAAATAATAATAAAATGAAATTAAATTGAAATAAAATTAAAATAATATAAAATAAAATTAAAATAAATAAAATAAAATAATAAAGCAAAGCTGGGTTCCTACTAAGTCAAATCTAAGGGTATGGAAGGAAAAAGAAGCACTGACATAAACCACACTAACAACTCAAATACCCTCATCTTGTGGGAGCAGGGGCTGTCAGGCATATCCCAAATCCAAAGTGATCCAAACTCTGATCTCCATGAAGTTTAATCTCCTAAAATAAAACTTGGTTTGCCTCAGTGGTTATTTTCTTACTCCTCTTGCACATCAACGTGCACCTTTTCTCCCTGTCAGGATGTTCACAGGGCCTGATTTCTTCTTCACTAATGAGCAACAAACGTGAAAACCCCATGAAGATTAAACAAAAAAAAAAAAAAACCAACACTGAAAATATTGAAATTATGCTAACAAATTCAAAATTATTAAAAAAAATTAATAAACCCCACTTTCTTTCAGCAATAGGACTATAAAGGCAGTGGTATGAAAGGACAATATGACCGAACCCATCCACATGTACATCCAGCACACATCCACACCCCCAGGTATGCACATTCCATACATTTTTAGTGATTTTATCGTTATTAGATCCTGGCTTGGAATTATTTATGTATTGTTCAAAGTCCCAGCCATCTGGCTACAGTCTGGATGGTAAAGCACTTCAGGAAAAGCAGCAGACAATTCCTTCCCCAAACTGCTTAACTCTTGCAATACCTGAAATAAATCTAAAATACTGACTACTACGTATTGCAATAAAGAGGTTTTTGCTGCATTCTGGCACAAGCCCAACTTCTTTGCAAACTGTGCTTTACAGCAAAGCCTCTTTCTCAATCTTTGCTTTATACCAGCTCACAGAAGTGAAAATAATAATAGAAAAGAAGTTGGAGGTGGGAGAAAGTGGCGCAGAAATCTTATTTTATTCAGCCCATCACTTTTGTTGCCTCCANAGGATTCCAAGTGGTCTCCACACCGCTTCATACACCCCAGATCTGTTTCACACAAGGCACGGGCTCTTCCCAACCCCAAAAGACGGATTTATGGCTTTAAAAATCTTCAGATTTCTTTGTGACTTAAAAAAAAAAAAAAAAAAAAAAGTCTTCTTTAAATAACGTTGTCCCTCTACTTTGCCAGCTGTATCCCTGTTTCCGTTCCTGTGTCTCTGTTAGGAGAGGAGAAGGGATAGAGGATGTTGCATTTTATGCAGCGTGGCTGTGACCAGCTCTTCAGGCTCCTTCTGCTCTCCACCTGAGCAAAGCATTTATGGGGAAAAAAAAAAAAAAACCAAACCAAAATTCCCCACCTAACCAAGGAAAGTCCCTGAACGTGTTTGCACAACAGTCTGTGTGCCCAGAGCTTGGGGGGGAGGGGGGAAAACCTTTGTCTCTCTGAAAACCCACTCCCAGATCTCTGGGTGAAGCTTTCAAAGCCAGCAATGGCCAAACACCCAGAAATATTCATGTCAAATATCCCGTTTCAGCACATTCCTGGACACCCAGGGATTTAGGAGCCCTCAGGTTTGACCTGTTATTAAAAACAAAACAAAACAAAACAAAACAAAACAACCAAACAAACAAAAAATTTGATTGAAATGCCAAGAGATCCTTAAAAACCTTCCAGAGTAAGAAGGGGCCTTGGATTATCCATTCCCACACCCCCACCTGCATCACTGAGTACCTGGAGATCTATGAGGTCTGACCTTAAAAGCAGTTTCTGAGAAGAGGATATAAGCTGTAAAAAAGCCCACTCTGAATATTTTAATCCTGATACAGTATCTCCCAAGAATCACCTGCCTCCTCGCACTTCGGAGTGCTGTAGGCTTGATTTCCATTAAAATTATTGGGTTTAGGAGGAATTAAAGCATTTTTAATGTACTTAGGATGTGTTCATAGAAAGAAAAAAAAAAAACAAAACCAAAAACAAGTATTATCATCCCACAGCAACCCTCAGCAGCCAGGGAAAGGTAAGAAGCAGAGAGATATCCCAAAAATGTGTTTCTACTTTGTTCATCTAAAGATCTTGCATGAAAGCAAGGTCTGGATAAGAGGATGAAGCTGCTTTGAGATTTGGGAGAACTTAGGACATTCCCCAGTGATCACCAGGGAAAAGCCATCCTGTCCACTCCTCGTCACTCTGTGGACTGGGACATGGATGACAACGGCAAATTGTCTTGAAAAGCAAGAAGTGCCATTCCTGGCTCTGACTTTCTCTTTAAAAATGAATAATTTAGGGCAAGAAAGGCCTGAAAACCTGGGAATAAAATGCAGGTACTGCTTGGGATGATACAACTAAAGGCTATGGGAGACAGGCCCTGTTCTTCATAACTTGAAGCCTAACTTGTCATTACTAACAGCACGATCTGTGGTTCTTCCAAGCTGTCCTCAAGCCTTCAGGACTGGTTTCTCCAGCCCTGACATCCATGAGTATGCAGAGGCAGAACCCTGAGGGGTGAAACCTGCCCTGCTTCACTCTCCAGCTGCTTCAGTTCCATCTCAGACAAGGGAAGAAGCTGCAGGCAAGTCAAAATGACCGTGAGGACAACCTGTACCAAACTCCCCCAACTACTTTCTGCAAGTGTTTCTCCAGGCTAAGAAACCATCTTAGGCAGAAGTGAGAGGTGCATCCACAGAAGACTCACTGGTTCTTCCAAGGGAAGAGAAAGAAAACCTCCATAAGTGTTCACTGTCAAGTTGTGCTTTATTCAAGTACTTCCTTTAAAACTTAAAAGCAAGTTTACACCTCCTTAGAATCATAGAATGATTTGGGCTGGGTTGGAAGGGACCTCAAAGATCATCCAGT